ATGGTCTATATAGTGTATGGCACTTGAGTGCACTATATTTGCGAGGAGTGAACGAGATGAAGTGAGTGAATTCGGACGCTGACGTTTACTGTGCGTCAGAGAGTTGGAGCGGTCGCAGAAAAGGCTTCGTCACACGTACTGATAAAACTCCTTTTGTCTTACGTTACTTAATAAAATAATTTTAACAACAATAACAATCATAATGACTTTATTTTGTAATTATACCTCCGTGCCAGCTTTATAGTTTCATCGACTGAAATTGCACTCTCACGCTCACAGATAACGTGTCGTCGAGCGCCTTCCGGCGACCGTTATCATATCCGAATGAATACGCTTCCTAACGACGATTAACATATATTTTTCAAATCTTCCACTAATCTCTGTTTTAAACCATAGACTGTAAAAAAATATGGACGTAGTATCCGTGACGTCACCCATAGGTTTCTGAAGAGCGTTTTTGAACCCTAAAGTGGGCGGAGCTGGCCGTCGCCATCTTGGCAGTGCGTCGACCTCTCGTCACTACCGGATAAATTAAAATGGGCAAAGAGGCGGGACGCAGGTGGAGCTGAGGTGCTAATGCTATGCTACTGCCTTTTACTGTCTCTATGCTGCCCTCGCGCTGAATTGACAGCTGATGGAAAAAATAAAGCCAATGCTTAAAGTTCATGTTTTTGCCCTTCGAAATATTATAATAGTTAAGACGTAACTAAAAGTGAGACTACTTTACTTTTTTATCAACTTTATTAATCTCACAAGGGGTAATTAGTTAAGAGCATGCACAAGGACATAATCACACACATTTCACACACTCACAACATTCAAGCAGTCAACTATGTGCATCGTGATGCATTATTATTCTGCTGGTTAAAAATGAATTAGTTACTGACAAATTGCTCTAAGCTTAGCATGTGAGTGATTCAAGGCAAGCACATCAGTCGGCATCTCACGTCAAGTTCGTAAAGAGCATTCAGTCCATTTTTTACAATCTGATTTTGGCCGCCAGCTCCTCAGACGGGTCAAACCAAAGATATTACCTCAGAACTTCAAGTAAATGAACTAGAAATCTGCGCTCATTCAAGGGGGGTGTGCATCTATTGCATGGACCGAGAGAACGCACTGAAATCATCAGACATCCATTAGTGCATGCGAGGGAAAGAGCTGGAAACACGGCGCTGGTTGTTCTCTCCATACTCAACACGACAGAATCCAACGGCGTGCACGGGTGAAGGTATAATGTATTAAATTGTATGAAATAATCCTGGAAAAGCACAAACACATCTGAGGGTGACGCTAACAGACAGCAGACAAACGACTAGCAGTGAAAGCGGCAGCAAGAATCCACCTGTCACTTAAGTGGCCACGCCCTTAATTATGCAGAACTATAAGGCTTAAATATATTTTAAACAGATGAGTTGTAAAAAAATTCACCCCCCTCACAGTCGTCATGAAGGGCAAAATTAGCGATATAGACCAAAACAAGTATTTGCCACCAGGCTGTAAACATGTTTTTTTCTGCTGTGAAGTTAGACATTTTAACTTGGTGGAGATACAGATTTGACTCGCTTTTGCAGCCAGCCTCATGCGGCCACTCGATGAATTGCAGTTTAATTCACTTCCGTATTGGCTTCAAGAGAGAGACGGGGAGGTTGCCCCTTGGGTTTAAACTTGCTCGCGCCGCACTTTCATGCGCGCAGTTCTCTCCGCATTGGATTGTGGGAAATAGTGCTTCAGCAAGTGTACATCGAATGTACACTCGAATTCAGAGAGGATTGTGGGTAAAAGTAGTGAATGAATGTAGGGAATGATGTCGTTCACTCAGAATTCTGACACCACTACAAAATGGCTGACACCCGATTTAGTGCACTATATAGTGGATAGGGAGCGATTTCAGACACACCTCTAGTATATTTGACTTCAGATGTAAAGTGACATCTTAAATTTTGTTGAATTATAGTTTTTATCAAACTTGTATGATACAAGCAGGCACACTGCTTGTGCTATTATTACCATCAATGAATGAATCAATAGAGGGAACAGGTACACATATGTATAAATAGGTAGGTAAATAAATGCTACTTAATTTATTTGAGAAACTCCTCAAAAGCTCCCCAGATAGCAAACTGACATTGAATCAACGTGGAAATATGACATCGAAACAACGTTGATCTGACATTGTTTTGCTCATCGAATTAACGTTGAACCAACGTCAGATACGTAATTCTTTCAAAACTAACGGAAAATCAACTTGAAATCAACGCGTTGTTTCAACGTTATGAAAGCAAACCAATTTTCGATTTCATTTAGCTTTGAAGAATGCCGCGTCTGACGTTGGTTCAACGTTAATTCGATGAGCAAAATCAACGTTGTTTCAATGTCATGAGACTGAGACGTCGTTTCCACGTTGATTCAATGTCAGTTTGCTGTCTGGGTCTCGATGAAGGCATGATCTACGAGCAGCTGAAAAAACGCAGATGAAAACAAAGCAAAACATGCAGCGCGAAGGTGGGCTCTTTTAAATTTCCGCGCTGTTATGACAGCGCATGTCATGCGACATTTCCAACATGGCGCATGTAGTACGTCCGGAACTCATACTACCCGTATTCGTACTATATCCACAAGTTTCCGAGGGGCGCTCCTGTAAAAAATAAAGTGGGTGAAACTTCCGGTGAGGCGGCGGAAGTAGCATTCCAATGGTATTTTGTGTGTTAGTTAGCGAAGAGGCTAGCTGTTTTTCGGAGAATTATTTTACTATTTAAAGACGCAAATCTTTATGAGAGATGTCGTTACGGAGCTCAGGGACAACATGTGCTGCTCGCGGTTGTATGTATAACCGGACTAAACTAATTTAGTGGCTTAAACGGGATTGTTTTGAACATAAGCTAAAAACGAAATCAGAGTGATCCTGCCAGAGCCCGTCTCTGATCCTGCCAACGACTGTAGTTTCCATCACCTCCCAAAAGAGACGAATCTTCCTGTGTACATTTGTTTAAATTCTTAATGTTCTATAAACTCTATCAGCATGTGTTTGGCTGTTTTCTACTGATGTTACACCTAAACTCAGGATCAAAGCCTGTGTTGACAGAATACCAAATGTGCCAGTTAATGTATTCAAGTAGCACATTCATTTATAATTTTGAATAAACTCCAAAGCACAATGACTAAGTGTGTATTTTTTATTTTAATTGTTTGTCAGCTCGCACAACTGTCTCTCAGCTGTCTGTCACCATGCCTTGATGAGTATTGATTATTAATAATGTTATTATAATACTCCCAATCAACTACTGCGGAGGGTAAAGGTACTGTTATTTCACCCTTTTTAATTTCGTTGAGGTTGTGTTCCCACATCGTTAGCTAGTTTGGATCGCTATAACTTGAATGACTGTCAACTGTTGAATGAACGAGTGTCAAGCATGTCAAATCGCGCTTTGTTTACTTCCAACCGGAAGTCGCGCCCACTTTTGACGCAAGGCCTCATGGGGCGTAGGAAACTTGTGGATAGAACGTATACTTTTTTAACGGTCGCGAAGTACGTTCTTTTTTAAATGTAATACCTACTCACATAGTACGCGATTTCGGACGCAGCCTGGTGTTGTATGACCATCACTGTCACTGTCCCATGTATTTCAACGGTCACTAAAAAGCAATGGTAAAACGTGAGGAAATGCTAGATTTTTATAGCTGGCAAAGTTAAAGTCTTATGAAGTACACTGACACTTTATTATCGTCCTTTCAAAAGTAACTGAATGTCCTACTACAAATATTAGCCTACAGTAGCCTAATCGTAATTCTAATTAAAACATAGGCTACATGTATATTTATAATGTCATTATAAAATATATAGTGGTTTATATAGACACTATAAATACATTTCAGAAAAAAAATATTAATTTTCCGCATAAAAAAATCGTTCCGTGCATCATAGACAGTAAAAGAAAGTGCATAGCCTACGCACCCTCTGAACTCTCATAATAAATGACTTCTCATTTTACACACACACCTCTGAAGGGATAGAAAGTCCTCGGGATACCGCATCACTCGCAAGACGCACTTGGATTAGTTGTCAACAAGGCGAAGTCCATCATTCTCCACTTGTCGCAGCTCTCTCGCGAAAATGTTCGCGGCACACTATAATTTGGATCAGGTTTAGACGTGTCCGTGTTTGATGGCAAACCAACCGTCCAGAGCCAGCAGAGTCCAGGCCTGGCAGCATCGCGGGGAACATATTCAACGCACTTGGACTTTGCACGATGAAAACAAATAATTTGCGTCCCATGATTGCCTCTCTCATCTAACGTTACTACGCGATATCACAGTTTTTCATGTCTGTCGTTGGAAAGATCCACGTGGTGTCATGAATAATTAAGAGGCCGTGTCTTCTCATAGGATAACACCGATGAGTCATCAACGCACTGTGCAGTGCACTGCCACGTCACCCGCTACGATGAAGATTTTAAACCCGGAAGACGAAAAAAGCGGAAAAAAACTCAAATTTAACTATTTTAACCTTATTATTAAATCTAACAGATGCTAACATTGTCTTCAATGGTGTTCAACACACATACCTCTGTTATAATCTCAGAAAATTTGGTTTGGGGTTTCATGACCCTTTAATATTGCTTTATGAGCAAACGCTTTACAGCATTTCAACAGAAGTTTTACATTTACATACAATTGCAATATACATATAACATTAAATTGCATAGTTTGAGTGATTTATATCACTGCACTATACTAATGAGTAAACAGTTGCACAATTATTATTATTATACTCTTACAGATGGTGTATTTTGTTCAGTGAATCTATGCAATATGACTGCTATCAATGTCTAATCAAAAATAACCTAAATTAATTATTGTTTAAATTAACTATTGTTCCAAGGTTTAAAAAAAAAAAATGATACAGATTTGGTCCAACTTGAGGTCAAGTGAATAATTAGTAATTTTTCATTTTGCACCTTAAAATCAGACATCTTCATATGCAAATCAATGAGCACAAGATCAAATGTCTACAGCAGTTTATTCATGCATTTTAACAGTAGCATATATATATATATATATCTAACACAATTTACCGCAGCATTTTAACTGAAAACCTTTATTCGAACACTCAAACACAATCTACTATAATTCAAAACGTTTGAGTGGTATAAAAAAAACACACACACTAGACAACAAAAATGTATTTGTGAGGCAAGGATCTGAGAAAATAAAATGATCTGCAAGGCACTGAGATCAGCAAGCGTCTATGAAGAGAGAGATTTGGATGATACAAAAGCTCCTCACCCGAATGAAGGCAAACACACAGAACATCATTGGTACAACAGCAGCTTTATTTCACTACTTAAACAGCGTTTTGAAGAGTATAATGGCCATCGTTTCCAGGAACAATCTGAATGACTAGTGCTTAGATGTTACCATCAGTGCGTTGGACAAACTGCAGGTCACTCCGGCGTTAGACGTCCAACAAAGCAAGATCAGCAACATTGAAGAACTAGAACACGTTTGCACTGAAACTAAGAGGTAAAGCCTTTTTAAGAAGCAAAACTATGGGTTTGGGAAATTACAGGAGATTAAACATCGTCAAGACTCTGTTATGTAGAGTTTCAAATGAAACAAAGACGCCTGCAACAGTTTACTCTTAGGAAAGAAAGAAAAAGACACCAAGTTGTGCATTTGAGACTAAAACACTTACTAATAAAGTAATAATACTATGTTTAATTACAGTAACAGTACAAGGACTCCAGTGGAAAGTCGAATGCCTCAAAACTGAGATTTCTCAATGTTATTCAAGGTGTCGATGCCATTTACCTGGCCAACATGACACAAAGGATAAATAACACACAAAGTCTCTCCAAATCCAGCATTGAGAAAAGATTGACATGCATTCTTCATGCATTGTAAGAGGAAGCAAAAATCATAATTTAATCTTTAGTGAAAAATGTTTGATTTCTATTAAATGGAAAATGCACTACAGCCTCAAATGGTTTGTGTTTTTCTTTCAGCCAAATGCATTAATCAGTCGTCCGTTCTCATTCATTCATTCATTCATGAAGTGGACAATCTGTAACAACATCCAACAGTAAAACTACTTCCTGTCTGTCGATTAAGACACAAGATGTGAACTTTGTGTAGTTTCTATTAACTACACAAGACAGAAATAATCCATGGGCAAACCAGGATTTTGAAATCAACCGAGAACTTTGCCTCAAAATACATTCAGCATGAGTATTCATTGTCATTGGGAAGAACAATTTAACAAGTCAAACTCAAAAGAAGTGAGAAGGTAATATTTCACCCCAAAACCAAAAAGAATGTTTGGTTTTTTTCCAAAACGGAAAATTACATTTTTAAGAACATGAATAATTTTTTGGGATTGTGAACGTCATTTTAATCGAATTTAGTCCCCAAATTATCTTTACCGTAATGCAAAAAAAGAAGAAAATCTCATTACACTATATAATGCAAATACCCTTTGATTTATATCCGCATAATTATTGCACTGACAATAATTCTGTTTAATCAGCATCAATTGTAAATTGATTCAAACACAAGCATGATGTCTATATTTTAAATGTACAGTAATGAGAAAAACACGTATTGCATTACAATAGCGGGGTTTAAATTGCTAAACTGAAATGAGTTACAACATAAAAGCTTTATTTTATTTCTCTTTTCGATTGATTTTACGACGAAATACGACCCTGACACTCTTTTTTTTAAGTTTTGAGAGATTCACACTAACACAAATGCAACTTCTAAGAAAATCAAATCTTGACCTTTTTTCTTTCCCAAGAGAATGCATAGCGAGCTCATTACCCTTAGTTTAAGATATTACACATGGCTTTCGTAAATGACTTGGGTATTCTGCGTCGTCACGCCCTCCTCTTCGACAGACTCCGCCTTGATTTCCTTCTCTTCAGACTCCGCCTCCAAAGGCAGCTGATCGACAGGCGGTGGAGAAACCACTTCGGGAAGAGGCGGAGCTTCCATGTTACAGCACCCAGCGTCGGCTAGCGGCGGATGAATGGAAACCTGAATGGCCATGTGTCGAGGCTGCTCGTGAAGCGACGCGTCGTCCGAGTCCGCGGCCGGAGACTCGCTGCGTTCCCTCTCCCTCGCCCGCTCTCTCTCGTGCAAGATTGAGAAAACGTCCCTGGAAGTGCTGACGACCACTCCGCCGGGGCCTTCGTGAAGCTCGGGTGCTTGTCGGACGAAGGTGTGTCTCATTTCCTCCACGCCGACGACCTCGAGGATCTCCTCCATGAAGGTGCGGCAGTTCATGATCAGCGGCGGGAGCGGGATGCTACGCGCTAACTCCTCTATGTAGCGGCGAACTCCATGGTCTTGAACTGCGTGACCTTCGCCAGCTCCCAGCGTTTTGGCTGAGGTAATGATGGGAA